CAAAAAAAAAAAAGTATTTTCAAGTCAAAGCATTTGTAATTGGTACAGAAAGCAAATAAGCCTTGTAAGTACGTTATGCGAAGCAGCCACACACTCCAGGAAAAGCTCAGGAGCAGATGTTCTATACCTGCCACGTTACTAATTTCAACAAGTGTTCGCCTTCTAGCTGCTGCCAGCAATGGCATGGTTTGTTACCATGAGCAATTTTCTTAATTAACAGACATTAATTAGCCATTTAGCAATTTTGCAAGCATTTGTTTAGCAGCTTTCCTAAACATGAATACCACTGTGATAATGGTACTGATTAGAGGGTCTCCTAATTAACAGTACAGGGAAGGAAAATTGAAATCACATAAATTAAAAAGGGAGGGAAAGTTAATGAAGGCAGGACATATTTGCACCTGCAAATCTTTTGTGCTACGGAAACTTGAGTGCAATGTAAATAAAGTAAGAGGATTTTTTTTTTTGATTTTTTTTTTATTTTTTAAGTGTGATGCAGATAGACGTAGCCACGGAGATTAGGAGAGAAACAGCCGCCTGTCAATCTTCCGTGTTTAGTTTACATGATTGTGTAAATAGATCTCCCTTGCGTCAACAGTGCTTACATCACCGACGCTACCATAGCGCGACAAGAAGAATAGCTCTTGCCTCCGCTGCGATGCACCCGCTGCTGTGGGAAGAGGCAGTCAGAGCCCAAATTTATTCCTATCCCCATCCAGCAGGAGAGAGGCAAAACAAGCCCCCCTTTTTGAAGGGCTCGGAGAGCTCCCCCTATCAACCCATTTGCTGAAATGCCCCCCATAACCGAGCCAGGCCAGAGCAATTGTAATTTGAACTGAACCCCCGGCCGGTTTGGGGGTATCAGTGAGACATTTGGGTTCCTTTTAACATTTCCTCCCGTCCGACATGGAAAAAACAAGGGAATCCCACATGCCAAGTCATCTGGCTCTAGACCACTAGCTAGTTAAGAACAGGATGGAGGAGGAAGGAAGCTGGGGATTTTACCAAGGAAAAACAAACAAAAAAAAAAATCAGTGACATGCAAGAAAGCTAGTTCTGCTGTTCTTCGATGGATCTACCACGCCAGACAGGAGTCCTAACTCACTGGGAGCAGTGACTGTCACCCACCAGCCACACGGGGACAGTAAATCTGACCCTGCACCCTGCAATTTTCAGTGTGTAGATGGGCTGAGACCATGTAGATCTCTCCTGAATTCAGAGGGGCTGGGAGTGGGGCAGGGGAAGACAACCGTGTCTTGCCACGGGCAGGATCTGGACTTGGGAGCAAGTGCAAAAATAGTCGCTACATATAAAAAGGAAAGAAAGAGGTGACTAGGGATCAAATGAAAGATCACGGACAATCACTCCAAGAATAACGAGATCTTTGTTAGGGAATGCAATTCAAACAGCACTTCTTCCCTTAAGGAGCAATTTTCCCATCTAGGTCAAACACACCCACCTGCCTTTCTTTACCTAGACAGGTGCCAAGAGTAGATTGAAGAAGTCCATCACCAAAGCACTGAGCCCAGCAGGAGAGGAACACCTCGAGGCTGGGATGCTTAAGTGCACATCAACCACATGGTAGGAAGAAACCTACCATGCTGCTAAGGGGCCTGATCTTCCTCCATCCCACATATTGATACCATGAACTCCACAACCTCTCAAGTGTTTCCTTGCGTGCTGATTTACCTGTCTGGAAAACAGCACGGTTTGATCTCTCTGGTAAAAGCAGCACAACATAGCTGCTTTCACCAAAATGGCCAAACACCATGAGCAAGGCATCCTCTGCAGACGAGAACGGCTCAAACAGAAACTACCGCCCAGACCACTTCCTGGGAATGACAACGCCTTTCGAAGTTGCACAACTGATAAGGGGAAAAGGAACCAGCTATGTTAGGTAGAGCTCAGCTTTTCAAGCTGGGCACAGACCCACCTTCTCTACAGAGCTGTAAATAAAGGCCCTCCCCTGCTACCAAACAGAAAGCGGAGAGAAAGGAGATCTTGAAAGCCTGGGAGCAGACACTCCACGTGCAGGCTGAGCTTTGTTCACATTAAATACTCCCTTGGCATTCAGTTGCCACGATTATAAGGTGAGAAACAACAGCATGCAACCACTGATGGCTGTAGGGTGGGGTGCGAAGCAATGAGGCTGCAGCGTTAGCAAGCTCCTGCTCAGAAATGGTCATGGGTAATTTGAAGGGAAGCAACAGGAGCCGAGTTTTGGCCGGGACCTCACCCAGACCCCTAACCGTGTGCAATTCAAAGCAAGAAGGCTGCAGGGGCTGGAATCAGAAAGGAGAAAGGACACGCAAGGATGGAGCAGGGCTTGCTCTCCTGTTCAATGCTGGACATTCTTGCGGCACGCCTCCAGGAGGCACAGAGACCAGCAGGGAAAAAGGCTGCTGGCTTTCTACAGGCGGTCCCATGCAAAGGGCTCTCCCCGTTCCCTGAAGTGACCGGCGGGCTGCTGAGCAGACTGCAGAAGGAGCCGGACCGCTCTGCTGCTGCCCCTGCAGGCAAGCCAACCTGGTTGCCAGCCAAAGAGGGCTGGCTCACAGTGACAGCACGGCGCTGCGGGCTAGTGTCAAGCGTGAAGACTGCCTTGCTGAAGTCCCAGAGGTGTCAGGGAACGCAGGAGGCTGCTAAGCGGCTGGCAGCGGGGGCCAGTCCCCAGGGCAGAGAAGGAGCCTGCAAGGCCCAAGGAAAACCACGCTTCACTATACACAGAGCAGCCCCCTTTTGTGGCAGCGCTCGGTGCCACTAGCCACTTTGTGCCCGCTTGACTGGTGGGGAAAGATGTCCTGGCAGTCGCAGCCCAGCCCGAGGCAGAGCTGGAAGCAGTCTGAAGCCCGGCCCGAGGCAAAGGGAAGCCCTTTTTGCAGCCGATTGGGGCTACTCCGCTAATGTGAGGGTGAAGGCGGCTTTGTGCCCTCCTTAAAGGGCTTCCATGAAGGCCCCCTTGCCCTCAGCCCCTGAGAGGGGTGAGTGGACGGTGAGGGAATTGCCTGGGGAAGATAAAGGAAATCTTGTTTCCCGGGGAGAAAATCCCTTGAGAAAGGCTCTGTTACAGCCAGGCAGCCAGGGGAACATCTGCTCTCCTCTGCAGAGGCAAGGAGGCTGGGGAGGCAGGGCCGATCAGCTCCAGCATCCCGGCAGGGGGAGCTCGCAGGTCGAGCCAAAGGAGACTCCCGGAGGGCCGGCTGGATTACCCAAAAACTCAGGTTTCCCTCCAGAGCAGTGGGCTCATCCCAAGAGAAACGCAACATCAGTAGGTGTGCTCCTACACTATCCCGCCGCCACCACGCGCAGAAGCATGCAGACAGTGACCCCCAAATGGGCAGACACCTTTCCTCTGTGCTGGTGCTTAGCCTGGAAACGGCAGTGTCCCAACCGAGTGGTGGCCACGCACACTGGATACTTGGCTTCACTCCCTACCCAAGGGACTGCAAATTATTCCCTCCAGGACTGAGATGGGGCAGTGCATAAGGATACAAGCCTGGAGCCACCTGCACTGGAATCGTAATATTTTTGTCCATACTGGTTTCTGCAACTGGGGGGGAAGGGGGAGGGCTGGGAATGAATAAGGGCTCTGACCATAATGACAAAATCTCTTCTGCTTCTCCCACCCAGGCCCGGCTTTCCCCTGGAGCAGGGAAACCACTTCTGCAGGAGACCTGGTGGCTTACGTTTGCAGAAATTAACCCTAGCACGGCCGCTGAAACCTGCTCTTAGGAAGGAGGCTGGAAAGACCCAGAGCTCTGGTTTTCTCGTTTTGCCACACACCTTGTTCCTCTCTCTCTCAGTGCCAGGGCAGAAGGATCTGTGATCTGCTGTCTGCACAGAGCAAGTCCTTGTTATTGTACAGGGTAGCAGGGGGACCATCAAGAAAATGAGTTGGAAGGGACCTCAGGAGGTCACATCTAGTCCAACCCCTTGCTCAAAGCAGGACCATCCCCACCTAGATCATCCTAGCCAAAGGTCCGTCTAGCCAGGTCTTATAAAAACCTCCAGGGATGGAGAGTCCACCACCTCTCTGGGGAACCTGTTCCAGTGTTTGACTACCCTCCTAGTGAGAAAATTCTTCCTAATATTTAACCTAAACTTCCCTGGCTGCAACTTGAGCCCATTGCTCCTTGTTCTGTATCTGCCCCCGCTGAGAACAGCCCAGCTCCATCCTCTTTGCAACCCCCT